TTCCTTTAAGGGGCTTAGGGTTCCTTTATGGGTAGGGCTTGGGGTTCCAGGGCTTAGGAGTTTAGAGATGGTTTAGGGATGAGGGTGTAGGGTTTAGGGTTTAGGAGCTTAGGCATCAGGGCTTGGGAAGTAGGTTTTACGGGTTCGTTTTTAGGGATATGGGTTTAGGGCTTACGGCGTTGAGGGTAGTCAAGGATTTGCTTTGGGTTTTGGGCCGCTTAGGGGTTAGGAATTCAAGTTCCTCGAAGGTTCCGACAAGGGTTTCTTCCTCTTCCTCTTCATGGTACATCCAAAAAGCTAGCACTGAGGGGCCGACGGTCTCCAAGAATCGTGGGGTCTCGCAGACGAAGAATAAGCCCAGCACCACCAACAGACCCATGGCCTTGCGTAGCACCGGCTTAGGGTGTCGATTTCAACAGTCCCCAAAATTATCTATAGTTTGGGCTCTACCTTAGAGGACAGAATATCCCAAATCGATACCTAGTATAACGGTTACTATCAGAGTTCCAGAAGAGTCTAGGGAGGGTTTAGGATGTTACGATTCAGGGCCTTAGGGTACAGGGACTCAAAAACCCATGGTGGAGGCAGGCAGAGCACATGTGTCTGAGTCTTAGTGCTCCGGATCATATTCCCTAAACCCAAAACCCTAAACCCTACGCCCTAAACCCTAAACCCTAAACCCGAAACCCTAAACCCTAAACCCGAAAGGCAGCCAAGAATCGACTTGAAGACCAAGGGACAACCGCCAACCGAAGGTTTCGTCGTGTACGGCGTAGTTCAGCACTGCAGCAGCTACGATGGCTAAGCAGACGTTGTTTTGATAGATGCCTACAAGCATGCCGCGGATCTTCTCCGGGGCAACTTCCGAAATGAATGCTGGTCCAGCCGACGATGTGATGCCGACACCAACCCCAGCCACGACCCTTCCCACAATGAGCATGATCGCATTTTGTGCTGATGTTTGCAAACCTCCACCAGCCGCAAACAAAAGAGAGCCAATGAACAGAGCGGGACGCCGCCCATGCTTGTCCACCAGAAGGTGTCCGGCTAGGACAGCAGCAATAGCTGCGGCGGTATTGAAGCCGTTGACGGTCAAACCCTCCCAGAATGCAACTGTGGCATTGTCCTCACACAGGATAACCCCAGACATGTCGACAAGTCGAACGCAACTTGGCATTTAGTTTCGCGCATCGCGCATCGCCATTTCAGAGAGAGAGAGAGAGAGAGAGAGAGAGAGCGAGAGAGAGAGAGAGAGAAAAAAAAAGATTATGTGTGCGTGCGGCTGGGTGAGGAAAGAGGAAAGCAGAGAAACGGAAGAGCGAGAGAGCGAGAGAAACAGAGCGAGAGAGAGAGAGAGAGAATTACAGAGAAAGAGAGGGCAAGATAGACCGATGGCCTGTTACAGATAAACAGGTGACAATTACCTAGTTCGACAGATGCAAAACTCCATGAATGGATGGGTACATGCATGGATGAATGAATGAAGGCCTGGGTGGAAAACAGACAGGTAGGAATGTTTACGGAGAGACAAACGGATGCATAAGCGCACGAGCGAGCACACAGAGATATCGATAGAAAATGGATAAGTCTGTATATGAACGTATATGTACGTACACACTCATAATTACATTTATGTGTACATATATATTTGAGTATAGATAGATAGATAGATAGATAGATAGATAGATAAATAGATAGATAGGTAGGTAGGTAGGTAGGTAGATGGATATAGATAGATAGATAGATAGATAGATAGATAGATAAATAGATAGGTAGGTA